CTGCTGCTTTTGGGTGTGGAATTCTGTAGATGTCTGTTAAGTCCATCTATTCTAGTGTGTTGTTCAGTTCCTCTGTGTCCTTACTTATTTTCTGTCTGTTTGATATGTCCTTTGTAGTGAGTCATGTGTTAAATTGTCTAAAATGAATGCATTACATTCTGTTTTGTCCTTTAATTCTGTTAGTATTTGTTTCACATATGCTGGTACTCCTGTATTGGGTGCATATGTATTTATAATGGTTATGTCCTCTTGTTGGACTGCTCCCTTTATCATTATGTGATGTCCTTCTTCATCTCTTCTTACTTTCTTTGTTTTAAAGTATATTTCATCTGATACAAGTACTGCAACACCTGCTTTTCTCTCCCCATTGTTTTCATGAAATATCTTTTTCCATCCATTCTCTTTTAGTCTGTGTATTTTTTTTGGTTTCAGGTGAGTCTCTTGTAAGCAGCATATAGATGGGTGTTGCTTTTTATCCATTCCTGTACTCTATGCCTTTTGATTGGTGCATTCAGTCCATTTACATTTAAGGTGATCGTCGATAGATATGTACTTACTGCCATTACAGGCTTTGTATTTGTGGTTATCAAAGGTTCAAGGGTAGCTTCTTTATTATCTATCCATCTAACTTAACTCTCTTATTAAGCTGTTAAGAACACAGTCTGATAATTCTTTAATTCTCTCCCTTCTTATTCTTCCTACTCCATTCTTTATGTGTTAGGTGTTTTATTCTGTATTCTGTTGTGTTTCATTTGACTGCTTTTGTGGATAGTTGATATTATTTTTTGAGTTTAATTAGTATTTGGTTGGTCTGCTTTCTTTGCTGTGATTTTATTTAGCCTTAGGTGACATCTATTTAGCCTTAGGAGTGCTTCCTTCTAGAGTGGTTTCTATAAAATATTCTGTGGAGTTGGTTTGTGGGAGGCAAATTCCTTCAACTTTTGCTTGTCTGGAAATTGTTTAATCCTTCCTTCAAATTTAAATGATAGTCATGGTGGATACAGTATTCTTGGCTCAAGGCCATTCTGTTATATTGCATTAAATATATCATGCCATTCTCTTCTGGCCTGTAAGGTTTCTGTTGAGAAACCTGATGATAGCCTGATGGGGTTGTAGGTGATCTTTTTTCTCTCTCTGGCTGTCTTTAATACTCTGTCCTTGTCTTTGATCTTTTCCATTTTAATTATTATATGTCTTGGTGTTGTCCTCCTTGGGTCCCTTCTGTTGGGAGATCTGTTGGCTTTCATTGTGTAGAGACTATTTCCTCCCCCAGGTTGGGGAAGTTTTCAGCAATTATTTCTTCAAAGACACTTTCTATCACTTTTTCTCTCTCTTCTTCTGGTACCCCTATAATGTTGATATTGTTCTGTTTGGATTGGTCACAGAGTTCTCTTAATATTCTTCTGTTCCTAGAGATACATTTATCTCTCTCTCCCTCAGCTTCTTTGTATTCCTGTTCTCTGATCACTATTCCATTAACATTAACACTATTCCATTGCACATCATCCAGTCTGCTCTTAAGACCTTCTATCAATTGTTTCATTTCTGTTATCTCCATCCAGATTTCATCCCTTAGCACTTCCATATTTCTCTGCAGGTCCATCAGCATGGTCGTGACTTTTATTTTGAATTCTTTTTCAGGAAGATTGGTTATATCTATCTCACGAAGGTGTCTCTCGGGGGTTGTCTGAGTGATTTTTGACTGTACCAGATTCTTCTGCCTTTTGATGGTGATAGAAGTCGTCACAGGCAGGTGGTGCATGTGTCAGCTGGGGGAACAAAGTTCCTTCCTGCTTGTTGGTCGCCTTGCCATGCTCCACTGCCTGTGCCGTCTACCCCCACACCGATAGCAGTCTCCAGGATAATCTACTGAGCTGCCATGGGTGGGGTGGCCCTCAGGATTGCCTAGCAGACTGCAGGGGGTTATAGACGCGCCAAGAACGGCGGCCCTTCGTGCTTTCTGGCTTCCACTGCCTGTGCCGTCTACCCGCACAGTGGGAGCAGTCTCTGGGATAATCTGAGCTGCCATGGGTGGGGTGGCCCTTGGAAAGGCTAGCGCCCTGCAAGGGGCTGCAGCCATGCTGGGTGTGTTCTGTGAGAATGGCGCCCCTTCGTGCCTTCTGGACTTTGATCTGGGTTATGCTGCCTGTGCTGGTTACCTGAACACCCGGTAGCAATCTCAGGGATAATCTCCTGAGCTGCCGTGGGTGGGGCAGCCCTCGGGATAGCCTAGTGCACTGCAGGGGGTCATAGATGCACCAGGTGTGTTATCCTACAAGAACGGCACCCCTTCATGCTTTGCGGACCTTGCTCCGGCTTCTGCCTGTGCTGTCTACCCGTACACTGGGAGCAGTCTCTGGGATAATCTCAGCTGCCATGGGTGGGGTGGTCCTTGGGAAAGGCTAGCGCCCTGTGAGGGGCTGCAGCCATGCCGGGTGTGTTCTCCTGTGAGAAGGGCGCCCCTTCGTGCCTTCTGGACCTTACTCTGGCTTCCACTGCCTGTGCCGGTTACCCACACACCGGGAGCTGTCTCTTTGATAATCTCCTGAGCTGCTGTGGGTGGATTGGCCCTTGGGATAGCCTAGCGCACTGCAGGGGTGGCAGACATGCCGGGTGTGTTCTCCTGCAAGAACGGCACCCATTCATGCCTTCCAGACCTTATTCTGGCTTCCTCTGTGTGTTCCGGTTAGCTGCACACTTGGAGGGGACTCTGTGTGGTTGCTGTGGGCGGGGCTGTTCTCTGGCTGCTCTGCAGCTGTAGTGGGTCAGCCGGTTTGCTTGCAGCGCAGGCCGGGGGGAATAAATAGCAGGCTGCTTATTGCTGTGAGGGGCTTCAGGGCTGCTTTACCCCACGGGGGGTTAGGGTGCCTGAAGTTCCTCAAGATTCCATGCATGCTAGGCTGACTGTGCTGGGATGATTTCGTCTAGCTGTTGAACCCTTGTCCCTTTAAGACTTTTAAAAAGGGCCTGCTTTTCTTTTGTCCCAGGGCAGCCGGCTGTGGGTACCTGCTCACAGTCTCCATCTTGGGTTTTACTTTTCTGTTTCTCTAATATCCAGTACACTATACAATGTGTGTCTGTGCTCCCAGTGCATATTACTAGGGCTGGTTATTTAGCAGTCCTGTGCTTCCACTCGCTCCCACTCTGATTCTTTTCCTCCCGCTGGTGATTTGGGATTGGAGGAGTGTTCGGGTCCCGCCAGGTCACAGCTTTGTATCTTACCCTTTTCATGAGATGCTGAGTTCTCGCAGATGCAGATGTAGCCTGGCTTTTGTACTGTATCCTCTGGTCTCTCTTTTAGGAATAGTTGTATTTCTTGTATTTTCAAAAATATATATAGTTTTGGGAGGATATTTTCACCACCCTACTCTCACCGCCATCTTGAGCCGAGTCTCACCATCTGTTCTTTAGGTAAAAACTAAATTTAGGTGTTTTTTATAATCTTAAGAGCCTTAGGAAGGAGGAATGAAGAATAGTTCTGTCAGAAAATTAACATTTAATTTCAGCTGTGTTCTAGGCCCAATTTTTTATTATTTGTTTAATGGTAGATTGTAAGATGGAGCCAGAAAGTTGGTATCTGAGAATAGTGAAACTTTTAAAGTATGTATTTTTAGGAGGTGATCTCTCAAATGTTTTATGAATATAGAAGAAGGTTTAGCAATACAAATAGCTCATCTGGGATGAGTCTAAGAAGTCTGACCCGTTGCCTGTGCTAACAGATGCAATGTACTCCCACAGAATGCCAGTGATTGGCCAGAATGTGCTTGACCAGTGTAAGCACTGGAATCAACCTAATGCAGAGAGATACACTCACATACAACTTTTGTTGTTGATATTATTGAAATCCATATGTAAATATTCTGCAACAGAGATTATCCTGTTATCCTGTCTCAACACTGGTACTTTGAAATATGGTTGCTGCCTAACATCTAGTCAGTTTTAGGACAGGTAAGAAGAATTGGGATTTCGATAAACCATGCAGTGTAATGTAAATAAATGGACCAATAACTATAGAAAGAAAGAATATATTCTAGTTAAAAAAAAAAGCAACAGTCTATTTGGGCAAGTACCAAATTAGGAACTAGGGTTTCTCATCTCCAGTCTCCATTGGATCTACAGTCAATATGTTTTCCAGTGAAGTATGTTCATGTTTAGGTTTAGTTAGATTATGAAATGCTTTTAGATTCTTTCATACCTCCCCTGTCCCCAATTCTAGAAACATTAAAGGAAACATTCTTTTTATAAATATACTTTTATGTAATAGCATTTTTTAGAAAGGTGTTTATTCCTGATTTTATATCAGAAGAACAGATAATATGTCTACATTTACCATTCTACAAAAGGGTTTACTTTGGCTTTTCAGAATATATTACAATTTAAATAAATTTGATGTTGATTAAGAGAAGATGATTGAGGGAAATGTTACACACTTGGGCAAGAAATAGTATTTATGATTAAACTAAGCCCTTGAGAAATATTAAGACAATGATTATAAAATATTATTGCAGTAGAAGATTTGGGTTTGATAGGAAGAATGTTCTTATCTGTCTGGAGGTGGGAGAGTATTCTGAGTATATGTAGATCCAGAGTGCTACATATAAAGGAGTAGAGCATATCTGAATCCCCTGTGAAGCTTTTGAGAAAAAAAAAAACAGTACCTGGAGGTTCCCATATAATTTTCATTTATTTATTTGAGTATTGCCCCAGCTGTGCTCAGTAGATTCTCATATGTCCTGCTTTTCCCAAATTACAGGACAGTGTTTGGGAGATGGGTGCAAAGCAACAGTCTGAGTTTCCATTATGACATTGTTGCTTTAATGTTGCACTTTACATTTTACATACTACTAAATATTCAGAAATTAGAAAGTAAATAATAGGAAATAAACCAGAAAACGAAAAGGTTTGTTGCTTATTCTGGTGAAACCTTTTCATCTGTCCAATTATTAAGCTTAATTCTAGAGTAAATTATTTCTTACTCGCTTTACCTTCTCTTTTTTCAGTTGCTGGAAGAGGACCCTTGGCCCCAGCTGAACTCTAAGGACCACGTACCTACCCTTGTTCATAATAATGTCTTCTCAGAGAATTATTTAGAAGTCCCAGCTCAGATATCTCAAGGGTATGTCCCGGCTGCAGTCATACCCTCGAAAGATCCACAGCCACTTGAAGAAAATTGTGCTAAAGCCCTGACTTTAAGGATACATGATTCTTTGAAGAATAATTTGTCAGTTGGCCTTGTGCCTACTAATTCCACAAGCACCATCATGGACCAAAAAAATTTAAAGATGTCAACACCAGGTCAAATGAAAGCCCAAGAAGTTGAAAGAACCCCCCCAGAAAACTTTAAAAGGACATTAGAAGAATCCAACTCTGGCCCTCTTATGAAGAAGCATAGACGAAATGGTTTAAGTCGAAGTAGTGGTGCTCAGCCTGCAAGCCTCCCCACAGCCTCTCAGCGGAAGAACTCTGTTAAACTTTCTGTGCGACGCAGACTCCGAGGCCAGAAGAAAATCGGAAATCCTTTACTTCACCAGCACAGAAAAACTGTTTGTGTGTGCTGAAATATGTGTAGAAAATGTTTTTCATCCTCAAACTTAAGATATAAGAGGGCTTTTTGAGGTTGGTGCTGCAGATGAACCTTTTTTAAGAGGACAAAATAAAAATAGTATACAGTTTGACTTTTTTGGAGTTCAGCAGTTTTATCCTGGCCTTGTACTTGCTTGTATAATAAATGTGAATTTTGTAGATGTTAGGGTGTAAGTTGCTGTAAAATGTGTGTAAATTTATATACTTCATACAAATTCAATCTCTTAACTCTGATACACAGTAAATGAAACAACAGGGCTAAAGGTTTTAAAAAAATCAAAAGAATCTATTAGATTTTAGAAGTACATTTAAACTTTTAAAAATGCTTATTAAGAAATTTGTATGAGTCACTTGTGATGAAAATTCAGAACTTTTTAAAGTAAATTATTAAGCAAACTGGAAAAATGATGTATTTTCATAGTGACCTGTGTTCCACTTAATGTTTCTTAGAGACAACTAGTGTCTTTTAAAAATTATTTTTTATTTCTAATTTCATAATTCAGAACTTAATTTTTCATAGAAGCAGAAGTATTGAGCCATGCTAAAGTAGCTGGGTATTAGTCTATTAGTCCTAATTAAAATACTATGCAGTATCTCTTATTTCAGTAGCATTTTTCTAAAACATTAATCATCAGATACATTCATCAAATCTTTGGAGTAGAAGGAGGTGTTTGCCTAAGAACATGCCCTTCTCAGTCATCTCTGATATTCAGTGGCATTATTAGGTCTTAAAGTAGTTACGCTCTTCTAGTGTTTGCAAAGAATAAGTTAAGTTTTTCTTGCAATTACAATAATGGATGGTGCTGCTAATTCCCAACATTTCTTAAATTATTTTATATATCGTACAGTTTCAACTGATTATATGGATATATGTTCGTTCATCTAATAAATCAGTAAACTGTTCCTGAATGTTACTGGATTTTTGTTGCTGGCTTGTTTAATCATACATATTAATATTCTTTTGTACCATCATCATGCTTTAGAGGAACAGCATACATGTAATGTTCCTTTTTGCACTCTTGACTTTTTAATTTTAATTTAGAGTACATCAAAACAGGCTACATATCTAACAATAAGAATATGGTTAAGTCCTTTATGGCTTGTAAACATTTGATAAAACATTATGTAGTAATCAAAACAAACAAAACTGTGTACTTTTGTAAAACAGAAAAAAACTAAAAGGAACTAATACTGAAACACTAAGAGTATGTCATTTTGGTGTGGTAAATTGTTCTACAATAAAATATTTTGAAAATTTAATTTAGAACAAGACCTCTCATTGAAGGGATTGAAGAGTTAATTCATGCATTCAACATTGTGCAACTACGGTATGCTAAGAGATGCACAATTGGAAGTATACCAGTTTTCCATAAGTGGATTCATTGATAACCAGTGATCCAGGTAAAATGTTAGTTGTGGCTAGTTTTTAAAAAGGATTTTTGGAACCTGAAGTGTTTGTTTTTCAGGTCTTTCCAAGAGAGAGATATGGCAGCTAGCAGACACTTTCTTATGTTGGAGTCAATTTATCTTGAAGGATTTTCTGTCTTTTATACCTATATTGTCTTAGCTGCATAAACTAGAAATTCAACAAATCTGAATGTATATTAAAAGAAAAAATCCACTAAGCTGCTTTCACCTTTTTTTGCCAGTGGTTTTAAATAAAATAATCTAGTCCTTAACATGAAATTAAAGTTTCTGTTTATGATTACAGTAATGGATTATATAATCTTTATTTTTCAAATCAGTTTTTAAAAATGTCATAGCATTAATTCTTTCCTAGATCACATTTCTAGTGAAATAGAGTCCAATTCCATATTGTAGTAGTGGCTATCTAATTCAGGAGATGTTTTTGTTTGAACACGTAACTGCAAATGCCAAAATTAGTCTTTTCTGTATGTGTTCCTAGGGCTGCATTTAGGCCAATACTTTAAGGAGTTAAAGATGTTGTGTAATCGCAAATAATGTTTCTATTTTTATTAATTTAAATTTTATTTACCTGTGTGACATATAAATCAGTAGTATAAAGGAAAATTCATCATGTATAAAATGGTACATAATGAACACCCACCTCAGTTCCCAAAGCAGCCAACATTTCCCCCTTTTTTTGAATGTGATCTTTCAGTGATAATCTATGCATAGACATGCAACTATACATGTTTATCTTTTAATCATATCTTGTTGATTTTTCTGTATCATATCACAGAGCCTTTTCAATCTCTAATATTCTAGTGTATGGATATAAGTTATTTAACTGCTTAACCATGTCCAGTAAAAGGAAAACAGTTTTTTGCTTTCTTCACACTTAAACTGCTAATGACACCAGATGTGTGGGTTTTCTGCACCAAGCAATTCTCCAATTTTTATGTAGACACCAACTCAATGTTTTATATTTTAATTTTAGTTCAGTTCTGACATTACTTGAAGTAATCAGACCCCATAATTTAAGGGCTCAGTCTCACAAGATTGTCCCCACTTCAGACCCCAAAAGCAAGTCCAAGTTGTCACATATACTTCTGACCGACTGGCTGTAAATCAGAGTGCCCATAACCCCTCCTCAAGTTTGAGTTTGTTAGAAAAGCTCAAAGAATTCAGAGAAGCATGTTTACTGGTTTATTATATAATAAAAGATATAGGTGAATAGCTAGATGAGAAACATTGGGCAAGGTCCAGAAAAGTCCCAAGAGCAAGAGTATCTGTCCCCATGAGTCTGGGGTGTACCACCCTCTTGATACTTGTTCAGCAACCTGAAGCTCTCCAAGCACCATAGTTGAGGGAATTTTATAGAAGCTTCATCATGTAGGCATGATCAATTATCCTAATCACCAGGCTTTTCCTGTCCCAGTAGGAAGGTGTGGGGGGTGAGGCTGAAATTTTCAAGCTTCTAATTATGGTTTGTACTGTCTGCTCACCAGCCCAATCCTGAAATTACCCAGGAGCCACCAAGAGTTGCCTCATTAAAATGAAGATGCTCCTACCAGGAAATTCCAAAAGATTTAGGAGCTCTGTCAGGAGCAGGTGTCAATGACCAAAGACAAAAGATGCTTTTAACACATTTTATCACTTTTAGTTGCAAAGGTTTTAGGAGCTCTAGCCAGGAGCCTGGGACACAGACCAAAATAAGTATTTCTTAACTATATCACAATATCATTTCCACAATGGTTCTTTCCAATATTTTGTAGAACAGGCAATTTTCTCTTATGCTTCAAACATTAAAAAATAAAATATGTATCAATTATAAATGGCTGTATATTAAGACCTCAAAATTTAGCAGCTTAAAGCAAAACATTGCCACAGTTTCTAAGTGTCAGGAATGTGGGAATGACTTAGGTTACAGTCTCATGTGGTTGCAGTCAAGATAATCAGGGCAAAATCATAATTTTTCCCCTAAATATACTATGTTACTAAGAAAAATTGAAATTTTAAATTGTGATCTTTGAGGCAAAATATTTTGGCAGTATGAATGGTTGCATTATGGTTACGATATACATATTTTTATAGTCTACTTAAAATCAATTTCTACCCACTTAAAAGTGGACTGTAGAAAACTACTGTACCATCCTCCGTAACAAACTATACTTGTCATGTTACACTGAAAACCTGATCAGGCAATGCTATAAATTTTGCTATCAAAAGTCAAACATTTTATAGAGCTTACGTGGAGAACAATTTATGATATACATCCAGATATTTACCATTGCTATTGCTGTTTCTTCATTCCTGACACTCTGTTTCCTTTTAGTATTCTTTTCTTTTAGCCCTTTAAAAAATATGCCACTTCTCTGGCCACCATGGTTTTTGATGAAAAATCTGTGGTCATTCAAATTGATCCCCTGTAGGTAGTGCATAGTTTTTCTCTGGCAACTTTCAAGATTTTTTCTTTGTGTTTAGTTACCAGCAGTATGGTTATGGTGTGTCCTGTGTGCATATGGATTTCTTTGAGGTTTCCTGCGTAGGATTTGCTGATAATCTTGAATCTGTAGGTTTATGTCCTTCACCAAACTTAGGTTTTCAGCCATTATTTCTTAAAATATTTTTTCCAGGACCACATTCTTTTTTATTTCTTTTTAACTTCTTTTTACCTCTTGTTAGAGCTTGTATATTTTTGAGCTCCAAAATTTTCATTTGGGTCTTCTTTTCATTGAGATTTTCCTATTTTTTCGTTCTTGTCAAAAGTGTTCATAATTACTTGCAGGAACAGTTTTATAATTTTGTTTTAAAGTATTTGTCAGATTATCTGTGTCATTTAGGTATCAGCATCTGTTGACTTGTTTTTTCCATGTGAATGAAGATTTTCCTGGTTCTTCATATAGCATGTAATTTTGGATTATATGCTAGACATTTGAATATTGTTATGACACTCTGGATCCTGTTCAGCTTTAACGGAGAATATTGATATCTTTGTTTTAATAGACAGTCAATATGGTTAATTCATGCTACATGTTCCAACCCACCTTCTGTCATCTGTGGTTCTGATGTCAGTTCATTTTCCAAAGCCTCTGCAACATGCAATTTGACCTGTCCCTGGTTTGCATCACCCAGTGGCTAGTTGGAGACCTGGGCAGTGATCTATCTGCCAGTTAAGTTCTCAGTCTTCGATATGCTGATCAGGTCCAGATTCATGCCTAATGTACTCTATGGGGTCACTTTCCTGAGCTCCTTCCTCTCTACAATCTCCATACTACCTTTCCCTTCCCTGGGGGTCCCCTTTTCAGTTCTCTGGGAAGAAAGCTGGGGCTTTAGAAAACATGCACTTTGACCATTATTCCTGCATTTGGGACTAAATGGCTCAACAGGTTTGTGTCTTGGTTGTTATCTGTGAAATGTAGATAATAATACTACAATGACTGGCATGTAGAGCTAAACAAATGTTATCTAATTTTATTTTATTAAAATTTTAGCTTCTTAAAACTGTTACTATAGATTTAGTTTCTCAGATTTTTAAGAATCTTTATTTAGGGTTATATGTGTATATAGAAGTTGAATTATGCCCTGGGCATCATTAAAAAAAGTTGATGAAACTAATTTTTGTCTTTGTCAATACTCTTACTGTCTGTTATCTTTAATTACAAATATTAGCTTCAGGTTGAGGGATAAATCGTTGGGGGTCTGACATGTATTGTATCCTGTTAGGGAATAGGGCATTATGGAGAACAAAAATGAAACAAATAATCCCTTCTGTTAAAGAGGTTACATTTTAGCTAAGTAGACAATAGAATTTTATATTAATCAATTAGAAAACAGTTACAAAGTAGTAACTAATGTGTCAGAGATAAAGGGTAGCCATTCTTCATGGCTCCTCTCAGTCCTACCTTACCTTTAGAAAATACTTTTTTTGGTGTAATTACTAATAGAGCCTTATTTCACAAAGAGTTCCTAGTTAGGATGGAAAATTATATGGCTACTTTATATATACTAGTTAGTTTAAAAAAAATGAAAAAGTAAAGGAATATAATCACTATGTCTTCAGAAAGTTTGCGGAGCCTGAGAATGAGCACAATGGACTAAAGAGAATGAGCACAGGGGACTAAAGAGAGCTGTGGGTTAGGTTGAAGGGACCCAACATTATAAACAAAGATTTAAAATTTTGAATAGATATGTGGGAAAATGCTGTTTTAGAAACCACAGTTATCCAGTAATATTTAAGACAAATGGCAATCACTATTGTAATTAAATAGATACGTGGTGATTTGACCTTGGGTTGTGTTGGTTTTATTATTCTGAAAAGTCTGGAATTCTGCTTATTTGGAGCTTACGACAAAAGTTTCAGCCTAATGAATGCACCAAAGAAAGTGTATCTAGTGAGTAATTAGTGTATTTTTACCTCACAACTGGAGGGTTTTAGAGAAATGTGATGTTCTAAAATGGACTTTTTTTTAGAGCAGTTTTAGGTTCACAGCAAAATTGAGTAGAAGGTACAGACTTCCTATATGTACACTGCCCTTACACATGCATATTGTTGCTTGTTGTTAAAAAGAAAGATACAGGGAATGGAGTGGAGGTATGGGTGAAACAGATGATGGAAAAAATTAGAAAGTTTGGTATCCTGATCTGGGCAATGATTACATGAGTATTACACATGTTAAAATTCATTAAGCTGGGCAAGGATGCCTAGAAAGGGGAGCCCTCCTACACTGCTGGTGGGAATGTAAGCTAGTTCAACCATTGTGGAAAGCAATATGGAGGTTCCTCAAAAAACTAAGAATGGGAATACCATTTGATCCGGGAATCCCACTTCTTGGAATTTACCCAAAGAATACAACTCAGATTCAAAAAGACATATGCACCCCTATGTTTATTGCAGCACTTTTTACAATAGCCTAAGTGGAAGCAACCTAAGTGTCCATCAGTAGATGAATGGATAAAGAAGTGGTACATATACACAATGGAATACTATTCAGCCATAAGAAACAAATCCTACCATTTGCAACAACATGGATGGAGCTGGAGGACGTAATGCTCAGTGAAATAAGCCAGGCGGAGAAAGACAAGTGCCAAATGATTTCCCTCATTTGTGGAGTATAACAACGAAGTAAAACTGAAGGAACAAAATGGCAGCGGACTCAGAGACTCCAAGAATGAACTAGCGGTTACCAAAGGGGAGGGGGATGAGAGAGGGTGGGTGGGGAGGGAGGGAGAAGGGGATTGAGGGGTATTATGTTTAGTACACATGGTGTGGGGGATCATGGGGAGAAGAGTGTAGCACAGAGAAGACAAGTAGTGACTCATGGCATCTTACTACACTGATGGACAGTGACTGCAATGGGGTATGGGTGGGGACTTAATATGGGTAAATGTAGTAACCACATTGTTTTTCCATGTGAAACCTTCATAAGAGTGTATATCAATAATACCTTAATAAAAATTTTTTAAAAAGTCATTAAGCTGTACAAACATGTGCATTTTGTTGTATGTATTCAATATAAAAAAGTAATTAAAAAATATCATATACCAATGAAGGAAAAATAAAAAACACACAAAACCCCAAAAAGACAGACATAAGCCCAACATGGGGTCACTTTGTCTAGATCAAGTCACCAAACCAAAGCTTAATCCCTAATTTAATTTCAATCTCCCTAAGAAATGTAGTCAGTCAGGAATTTTCCAGTCAGCATTGATAAGATAATATCACACAAACCCTCTCCATTCCCCAAAGGAAGATGAGATAATCCACCTAATAAGACCCTTTCATTTCCAAATGTAGGTGACCTCACCTGAAATAATCCTTTTTCCTGTTTATGACTTCCTTGTCCTGCCTTTAAAAACCTTTCTTTCCGTAACCCTTCAGAACATCTCTGTAGTTGCTATTACTTAATAAAGCCAAATCAGTCTTCAAATTTACTTAATTGAATTTTTAAAAATATTATCAATAACCCAAATGGATATAATCGTTAATCCAAAAATAAAACTCACTTATTTTTCCAGTGAAAATGGGTTTACTTGGGAAAAGCATAGAATTGTAATTCAAGACAAGCTATGGCAAAATAAGGCATGTCTGGAGAATACAGATGAATGCTCTTTTATAGAAGAAAGGGGGACAGTTGAAGGAACTGTTCTAAGCAACAAATCCACTGGAGTAAAATTGGGAGTTTCACATCAAGACTGCTCATTGACTCAGTTGTGACAGTCTCTTATTGGCTGGGCTATTGCTGGGCAGGCGGAAACTCTTCTCTTGTCCTACCAGGTGGTAAAGTAGCCAAAATAATATGCCTTGTAAGGTGTCTGTCTCTTACTTCCTCATTGATGAGGAGTGGTGGGCAGGAGAGCTGCGTCTGTAGGCCTCTCAACTCTGTCAGTGAGGTTCTCCTTTATGAATTTTCACACAGTTCATGAACCTACCCCTGATGATGGTTATTTTTTTTAACCTGTTTTTCCTTTTACTTAGCTGAAAATTAAAATATTAGTGTTCACTATTGTTCTATGTGAAGTAAAATTATTTCACCACTGCTGAAATCATGTGATTATTATCCAGGTGTTTTTGTGGCCAGGATGAGACAATGGCTTACTTGAGCCTAAAAAAAGAAACTCGATCCTACAAAACCAAAAATACATAATAAAATATGAACTGATTTTGAAATTTTATTTGCATATTGAAAGCTCCCTGACAATTCTCTGAGAATTTTTCTTTTCTACAAGACCATACGAGAGGAAATTTTAGTCATTAGTGGTTTATTATAATGGACCATCCCAGCAACTGGAAGAACACAGAACTCTGACTGGAAGTCACTCTTTTACACTGAAAATGAGTTTCCTAGCTGGAATTGCTCACCCTCAAGACAGATTGTTGCAGTTTCCCCACGTTCCAATACTTTGAAATGACTCACACAGCTAACAATACTAAGCACCCACAAGTTACTTCCATTCAAAAAATGATCACCACAAATTTTAGTTTCTCTCACTTAAAGGCTCATGAATCTTACACCATCTTTGTGGAGAAAAAACGGAGTATTAGAACAAGTACATTTATTAGTAATTAGAACTAATTAATTTGGAGAAATTTTAACTGGTTCTTAAGACCTTTAAATTCATTTACTCCTCAACATAATCCTATTAAGCTCATACTAGTCTTTCTACAATTTCAAAGGATGAAACTAAGGGCCAGACATTCACCCCCTCCCCACTCCCTTAAAAAATGAACAGCTTCACCAGTGTTCATCCTATCTGTAAGTGTCATCATTCAGTTGCTCAGGCCCAATATGGGAGCATCAACCTTAATTCTTTTCCTTTTATCACATATCCAACCCATTACCAAGCTTTCAATTCTCTCTTTCAAAATACTCTGAAATTGGGTACTTTTCACCTCTACTTCTTCACTTCTAGGCTCAGTTCTCCGTACTTGACCCACTGCTTCCACTCTTATCCTCTCTCTGACAACATTTTTTTTTCTCTGTAGAGTAGGTAGAATGATCTTTTAGAAATATAAGTATTATCATGGAATTCTATAGCTAAAAGCCCTCCAATAGATTCCCACCCTAGAATAAACTTGAAACTCCTTATAATTCTATACAAACCATACTCCATCTGGCCACTTCTTATCTCTCCTAACTAGTTATCACTTTCTATGTAGTTCACATTGCTTAAACCATACTGTTTTTCTTGTTCTTCCTCAAAACTTATTCTCTTCTTAAGGCCTTTGGTACATGTTTCTTTTGTCTTGAGTGCTTTTCCCTCAGAGCATCTTTCTTAACATAGTTCATTGAGGTCTTCATTCAAATGTCATCTCCTGAGAGGCTTTCCCTAACCACACTACCTAAAATAAGCCTTTTCCGACCTGTATTTATCACCTTTTTTCCCCACAGCATTATATACTTGAATGTTTCTGTTCATTTTTGTCTTCCCACTGTTATGTATATTCCCTGGCTGAAGACAAGCACATTGGTTAATTTGTGTATTGCTGTATTTCCAGAGCCTAGAATACACCTGACACTAGGTAGGTATTCATATATTTGTTGAATGAATGAATAAGTGAACTTATGTACAAGAATATTCTTTATAATTTTTTGTCCCACCCCGCCCCTCCCTAATTTGTAGAGCTAAGGAGTTTAACAATGCATAGAAAACAGCTATTTAAACTGAAAAAACTTACACTAATGCTGGTTATCCCATATTATAATTATTAGTTATTTGTCTCCTCTGGATTTCTGCTTTGTATCTGCTCTGGGCCCGGATGGCATGAGAATAGTAATTATTTTTCAAATAAGTCTGAATTTTGAAATAGCTGTTGTGTTCAGGTATTAAGGAGGGTTCAACAATGTGAAAGCCTTAGTCTACTAATGTAAAGGAGGATTCGATTAACTTTGTAGTTGGTGAAAAATGAAATATGCTCAAGAGAAATATGCAAAAAACATTTCAAAGACAACAAGGAAGTAAGCCAGTCATAGAAATAATAGCAAAAGGAATTCAGAAATTTGGAAAGATTCCTTTTTTAGTGAGTTTAATGTAGGAAGCACATCTTAAAAGACGGAAAGTTCTGGGGATTTGTTTAGTGTAAGAAGATAATTGTTCAGAATCTTATTAGCCAACGTTCAAACATCAGCCTGATAAGTAGCGCTCTGGGTGTTCTATTTATTGGCATTGATTATCAAGAGCAAATGGGTGGTTTCTTGGCTCGCTCCCCGCCTCCCCCTCCCCAGCTAATGAACTGCATATGTCCGGTGAGGTAGTTTTACTAAACTTTTCCCAAACTCCTCCACTGCGCTGAAATCTTTTAAAAGTTTTTAACTGCCGTATTAGCCAATTTGTTACAAATCCCATGTCTAGTAATAAACCATATTCTTATGGGATTGAGGGATTGTCGAATTAAATATAATACTTATTCTGTGTTTTAGGACTGCACAGAACGTTCGTTCACTATATCAATAAATGTTATCGTTATTATAATAGAAATGTAACTGACGGAATGACACCGATGAGGGCTTGAGCTTTTCAACTCGGGAGACGGAAACAGGTAAGGAAGGTGTGGTCCAAACACCTAGCTTAAACAGACACGATTGCCAGCTGCGTTCCTCACTCGGATCAAACACCAAGTCGGCTCCAGAGCTGCCCACCCCGAAAACCGGCCTAGGCTCCCGGAAGGTAAACACACTGAAAAAGGAGGGGCAGAACGATGGTTCTGGATGGATAAGTGGCCAGCTAAAAGTGATTGACAGCTGCCATGTCCACGTGCTTTGAGCTTCGAACCAGCTGTCGCGAGAATTCTATGTAAACAGACCCGTCCCCATGTCCTATGTCGTCCAGCCCGGGAAGCTCAGGTCGGGGCCCAGGGATCTGGGGCATGATGCTGTTTGACAGAGCCACGAGGGTGCAGTCTGCAAAGGAAAAGACATGGTCATAACTCCTTTGTGCCTGCCTGCGTTCGCAACCGAACCTGACACCCCGGCTTCATCCGAAATTGCATACTGTTTTGTTTTCCCACGAGCCCCAGCGGATTGGATAAATTCAGGAGGCGGGTCCGCCTCTTTCCTCCTTGCTGGTTGGCGAAGCTGACCTCCAAGGGCGGTGCCCGGTCATGGACAGTTTGCTGTTGGGATTGGCTAGAAAGGTAGTTCCGCTGAGGCGTGGTAGGAAGTGGTGGCCGTCAATCACGCGGGACTCCAAACACTGAGCCCTGAGCTGGAGAACAGCGTTTACCGGCGGGGCGGCCGGTGAGAGGGCTGGTGGGACTGTGGCTTTGGGGAGGCTTGGAGAAGACGAGGGGCAAGCAGCATGAGGGGAGAGGGCTTGGCTGGCAGGAATTCGACGAGGAAGAGCTGTCGAGGTGGAGGGGGAGGGGAGTAAGGGCAAGGGGCCAGAGGGCGGGCGGGGGAAGCAGTGGCCCCGCTTTGGAGGTTAAGTGGGTAGCGCTTTGCTCGTGTCTTTAGGGTGAGTGAGGCTTGAGGGACTTAGCGAAGGTGTTCCTCTAGAGACAGGGCCCTTAAAGGACAGTTCTCGGGAGGCTGTGTTTCGGGAAATAAAGGGTGGAATGGGAATTAAGGGTTGAGGTGCTGGAGTGTAAGGTATCCACCGAGGGAGGAGTACCTGGGCTAGTGGGGCAAAGGGTGATTCGGTTTAGCAGATGGGGCTCATAAGTATGGGAATTTTCAGGTAAGGTGACGGAATGCCCCTTACTTAGAAGTGATGGTTGTAGGGGCTTTCAAGATTAGTTCCAGGCAGTGGACTTTTCCTGAGCCCTGAAGAGATCTTTAATATTGCTGCCAGTCCTCTTTTAACCTTAACCAAGTACATACACGCCATGCTCTTAAAACCTCGCCAGTGATTCAGATGCTCTGTAGACATTCAAGGATCAGGAGCCAAGTGATGGTGACAGTAAAGAATAAGGGGCTTTTAATGTCATATAAGTTTTTATTATTTATTTAGACTCTGGTGATTAGGTTACAATAGCCGGTGAGAGGGCCGGTAACAAACATTTTAAAATCTTGTTATATTATGATCATGCAGTGTCATAATTTTTTTGTAGATATATTTTTTGGGTATATAATTGGCATATTAGTTACAGGTGTAGAGGTGTACAACATAATGATTCAATATTTGTATATATTGTGAAGTGACGTCCATCACCATTTACAGTTAAAATATGTAGTCTTATAGATTCTGAGCAGTCTTAGTTGGAAGGTATTACCTCACTGTTCTATTTTGTCTTGAAATATTGTACCATGTGTATTTTCACCATGTCAACATAAGATTTCAGTAAACTACTCTATTTTGGCTTACACAGGTATCCTATTTGTTTTTGTAAAGTGATCCTGAGCTGCACTTCTCCATCCCATGATCTGGTTCTCTTACCTTTTTAGTTTGTGTTAACAACGGATTAGAGAGTCCTGCAAGAATCTTAAATAGTGTTGTGGTTCTTGGTCTAAACAAAAAAATCTCATCATGATTTGAAAATTTTTTATCTATGTCTTCCTTACCTCTCATACCCTTTTTCTCTTGCAGTAGATTGCTTGGAAAGTTTCCTACATTTTAGATATTTTTGACAATGGATTTCTAGCAAGTGACCATAAGTCTTCCCCCACACCGAAAAACAATGATGAGTTTTTTTTCTATTTTTTTGTTCTGGAAACAGGTTTTGTGAACAAAGCTATGGCTACAGATTCCCCCAGAAGACCCAGTCGCTGTACTGGTGGAGTTGTGGTTCGCCCCCAGGCTGTCACGTAAGCAAATATCAGATAATCCTAATAACTGAAGAAAAGATTACTCAGAATAGTAACTAACATTCAGGTTTCCTTTCTGAACAGTGCTTACTTTTGTAAAAACTATTTAATCTTGGCTTTATAGGATGATAAGTATCATTGCTAAGGCCAAGTAAAAGGAATAATTGGAGGGTGAAGTTGATGTATTCAGCACATTAGAGTACGTGAAAAGCACTCTGCTAAATTCTAAAGAGTAATGCTTTTTCATATTATAGTTTGGACAATTAGTGGGTCATTAAGTCAGTTGGGTGGATCAGGTTCATATTTCAAAAAAGAAATAGAACACAATAGAAAATATGGTTGGGAGTTAGTATTGTTTTGTGACACAGATATATTCATCTGAGTGTATATGTTTACTAGATCATGATATAAAATGTATCAAGTTTCAGTGTCATAAAGAGTACATTTCAGTAGATGGAGCATTCTTTGACAAAACATATCTGTACTTTTTAGGAGCATGTAATCTAATGTGGTTTTAAGATAATGTGTACTTGAAATCATTATAATCAATAGAAAAAATGCCAGTAAGACAGAATTTAGAGGGAATATTTTGGTGGGAATGTTTAGTATTGTGGATCTGAAAATGTTTCAGTAAGGAGCTAACATTTCACAGTGTACTCTAAAGGCTGAATAGAGTTTCGGCAATTAGAATCAAGAGTATGTTTTAGGCAAAGGTAATAGAGTGAGCAGAAGTGTGTAAGGCAAGCTATTTTCATAAATGAAAATATAGGAAAGTTGTCATATTTAAAGTAGATTAGGATGGACTGTTAAAATCCTTCAGTACCTGGATAAGAATGTGAAACTTGTTTTCTATAATCTTTTAAAATGTTCAAAGGAAATTGTAGCATTTTAGATTAGTTCCTTTGGGCAACTTAACATGTTACATAATGATTGCTTTCTCAGACTAACAAAAGTATATATGCAATATGCTATTTTACCATATTACTTCTTTTTTTTCCTTCCTCCATTCCCCAGGGCTATATTTCTTTGATAACTATGGATGATGGCAACAGCTTAAGCTTGTTATTAGCTCAGAGTTAGGTATTATTTCAGGCTTTATTTTACAGGTGAGAAAACCAAAGCAGAGAGTAAATTGTCTTAGGTAACAGCCAAGAAGGGGAACCTTGATCAAATCCAGGCATTTTGTCTCCAGAGTCTGTTCATTTAGGCAGTATTCTTTGCTTCTTCACTATATGGTATTCAACATATATTGCTTTTTGGAATGCAATACATAATTTTAGTGTTTTAAAAATATCTTTACTAATTTTATGTTCTTTTAACATGTAATGCTGACACATTTACTTCATGCCTAAAGTATTGGCTTATTGATTCTGGAGATACAAGGCAAATATGAGAGATGGATTCCTTTCTATAATAAAGTTTATATTCTCCTGGGGGAAACAGTAAATGAGTAAAGTAATTAAAGGCTCTGATGACTGCACAGTGTGCTTTTATAGAGAATGACTGGGGAGTGTGACTTAAGGCTGTCAGGGAAGGCCCCTCTGAGGAGGTGACACTTAGCTGGAGATCTTCTTGGGAAGGAATCCAAGCAGAAAGAAAGCTTGTGTAAAAAGGTCTTGATTCAAAGAGCTTGGTGTATCCTAGGATGGAAGTTGCATATGACTACAGCAGAGTAAATTAGGAAAGTGGCAGAAAAATGAGGTCAGAGAGGTAGTCCTGATCAAAATTTTTAATTTTTTTAGGCCTTATCAGTTTTTGTAGGTATCTAAGGCATATTTTTTATGGATTTAGGATAACTCGTAATATTTTCTTCAAATATACTTTTTCACATCTCTCTGAAATGAATATGATCTGAAATTCTTGAAAAGAAATTATTTTTCTTCACTTGCTGATTCCACATTCTTCCCATTTAAAATATCTTAGTGTCCTTAACAGTATAATTTTTATTATTGTTGTGCATTTTATTATTTTTTACTTTCCAGTCTGTGCTAGAAGTTCTGTGAGGACTTTTTTAATAACTCTTTAATAGCTCCTTCTAATGTCTGCACTTGCAACAAAATACAGATTCTTTTTGCTATATGCAGGTAAAAGATTAGGTTCATAACCAATTTAAAGAGAAGGTCGCTAAATACTGAGTCATCAGCAGCAGTTTTTCTTGCTCTAACTAGGGCATTCTTCTGCTCTGAGTCAAGAGGAAGGTCTGGCCTTAGCCTTCTGCCTTCACTCCTTCAAATACTAGTTAGAAATTATCTGTATCAAGTTAACAGAGCATGACATTTTTTAAATTAATAGATATCATTAATATAGAATCTTATGAAGGTTTCACATGAGCGATATTGTGGTGACTACATTCACCTGTATTATTGATTCCCCACCTCCAGACCCCAACACAGTCACTGTCTATCAGCATAGTAAGATGCCACAGAGTCATTACCTGTCTTCTCTGTGCTACACTGTCTTCCTCATGACCCCTCCTACACCGTTTGTGCCGATCATAATGCCCCTCAATCCCCTTCTCCCACCCACCCCACCCACCCTCTCCCACCCCTTCCCTTTGGTAACCACTAGTCGATTCTTGGAGTCTGTGAGTCTGCTCCTGTTTTGTTCTTTCAGTTTTACTTTGTTGTTATACTTCACAAATGAATGAAATCATTTGGTACTTGTCTTTCTCCACCTGGCTTATTTGACTGAGCATGATACCCTCTAGCTCCATCCATGTTGTTGCAAATGGTAGGATTTATTTTCTTATGGCTGAATAATATTCCATTATATATATGTACTGCATCTTCTTTATCCATTCATCTACTGATGGACACTTAGGTTGCTTCCATATATTGGCTATTGTAAATAGTGCTGCAATAAACATAGGGGTGCATATGTCTTTTGGAATCTGGGATCTTTTTTTCTTCGAGTAAATTCCTAAGAGTAGAATTCTTGAGTAAAATGGAATTTCTATTTTTAGTTTTTTGAGGAACCTCCATATTGCTTTCCACAATGGTTGAACTAATTTACATTCCCACCAGCAGTGTAGGATGGTTCCCCTTTCTTCACATCCTTGCCAGCATTTGTTGTTCCTAGTCTTTTCAATGTTGGCCATTCTAACTGGTGTGAGGTGATAACTCATTGTGGCTTTATTTTGCATTTTCCTGATAATTAGGGATGTGGAGCATCTTTTCATGTGCCTGTTGACATCTGAATTTCTTCTTTGAAGAAGTGTCTGTTCATATCCTCCACCCATTTTTTAATAGGGTTATTTGCTTTTTCAGTTTTGAGGCCTGTGAGTTCTTTATATATTTTGGATGTTAACCCCTTGTCAGATATATCATTTATAAATATGTTCTTCCATATTGTAGGATGCCTTTTCGTTCTACTGATGGTATCCTTTCCTGTACAGAAGCTTTTTAGCTTGATGTAGTCGCATTTGTTGATTTTTGCTTTTGTTTCCCTTGCCCGAGGAGATGCATTCAGGAAGAAGTTGCTCTTGTTTATATTCAAGAGAGTTTTGCCTGTGTTTTCTTCTAAGAGTTTTATGGTTTCATGCTTACAGTCAGGTCTTTGAACCATTTTGAATTTACATTTGTGTATTAAGTTAGACAGTAATCCAGTTTCATTCTCTTACATGTAGCTCTCCAGTTTTGCCAACACCAGTTGTTGAAGAGGCTGTCATTTCCCCATTGTATATCCATGGCTCCTTAATCATATATTAATTGATATATGCCTGGGTTAATATCTGGACTCTGTTCTATTCCATTGACCTATGGGTCTGTTCTTGTGCCAGTACAAAATTGTTTTGACTACTGTGGCTTCGTAATAGAGATTGAAGTCAGGGAGCATAATTCCCCCTGCTTTATTCTTCCTTCTCAGGATTGCTTTGGGTATTCGATGTCTTTTGTGGTTCCATATAAATTTCAGAACTATTTGTTCTAGTTGGTTGAAGAATGCTGTTGGTATTTTGATAGGGATTGCATTGAATCTGTAGATTGCATTAGGCAAGATGGCCATTTTGACAATATTAATTATTCCTATCCTTGAGCACGGGATGTATTACCATTTATTGGTGTCTTCTTTAATTTCTCTCATGAGTGTCTTGCAGTTTTCAGGGTATAGTTCATTCACTTACTCGGTTAGGTTTATTCTTAAGTATTTTAGTCTTTTTGATGCAGTTGTAAATGGAATTGCATTCAGTCCATTTACATTTAGGGTGATTACTGATAGATATGTACTTACTGCCATTTCAGGCTTTAGGTTTGTGGTTACCAAAGGTTCAAGGGTAGCTTCTTTATCATCTAACAATCTAACTTAACTTAGTACTCTGTTTTAAACAAAATCTAAAGGTTCTTCTTTTTTCCTCTGTTCTTTTTCTTCCTCCTCCACTCTTTATATATTAGGTGTCGTATTCTGTACTCTTTGTGTATGCCTTGACTGACTTTGTGGGTAGTTGATTTAGTAATTAATTGGGCTCCTTCCTTTACTGTAGTTTTATTTTCTCTGGTGACAGCTGTTTAGTCTCAGGAGCACTTCCATCTATAGCAGTTCCTCCAGATACACTGTAGAGATGGTTTGTGGGAAGTAAATTCCCTCAACTTTTGCTTATCTGGAAATTGTTTAATCCCTCCTTCAAATTTAAATGATAATCTTACCGGGTAGAGTATTCTTGGTTCGAGGCCCTTCTGTTTCATTGCATTAAATATATCATACCACTTGCCTTTGGCTAGTTTCTGCTGAGAAGTCTGATGATAGCCTGATGGTTTTGCTTTGTATGTGATCTTTTTTCTCTGTCAGGCTGCTTTTAATACTCTGTCTTGTCCTTGATCTTAACCATTTTAATTATTATATGTCTTGGTGTTGTGTTCCTTGGGTCCCTTGTGTTAGGAGATCTGTGCACTTTCATGGCCTAAGAGACTATTTCCTTTCCCATATTGGGGAAGTTTTTCAGTAGTTATTACCACAAAGAGACTTTCTATCCCTTTTTCTCTTTCTTCTTCTGATACCCATATATGCGAATATTGTTCCGTTTGGATTGGTCATACAGTTCTCTTAATATTCTTTCATTCCTAGAGATCCTTTTTTCTCTCTGTGCCTCAGCTTATTTGTATTCCTGTTCTCTAATTTCTGTTTCATTTACCATTTCCTCTACCTCATCTAATCTGCTTTTAAATCCCTCCATTGTATGTTTCATTTCGGATACTGTGTTTTTCAAAGTTTCTGTTTCTTTCTTGAAGTACTCCCTGAGGTCTTGAATACTTTTCTGTAGCTCCATGAGCATGTTTATGATTTTTATTTTGAAATATTCATCAAGAAGATTGGTGATTTCAGTTTCACTTAGCCCTCCTTCTTGTGTTTGTGGGTTTTTAGTGTGTACTAGGTTCTTTCACTGTTTCATATATTTATTGATTACTCTGGAATAATAACTGTGTAGGTGGTGCTCTCTAGTGCCCAGAAAGTTTACTTTCTGGAGCTACCCAGCACCTGGAGTGATGGTGGGGCTTACAGGTGAGCGTCATTGGAATATGTTGGTAAGAAAGAGCTCTTTCCTGCTTCCTGGCCGTAGGGCCAGTGGGCTGAGCTCATAGAGAGGGGCCTCTTCTTTATGCATCTGTAGCTGCTGTAGGTGGGGCTATCCTCAGACTGGCCTGGCACAATGGTGGGGGCAGTAGGTTTGTGGGTGGAGACAGCAGGTTTGCGAGCCGGTGCTGGCAGGGAGGAAGGAGTGAAAGGCTGTGTAATGTGGTGGGTGGCCTCAGTCACGTTGTCAGCCAGGGGGATGGAGCACCTGAAGCTCTTGATAGTTCCCAACCTGCTGGGCTGAGTGTGCTGGGACGATTTTGTCCACCTGTCCTTTCTCCTGAGTAACAAGCTCTGTGTATTCCTTGCTCCTTTAGTAGTCCTCTTGCTTTTGGAAAGCCTTTCAAAGTGCCCACTTTTCTTTTGTCCTGGGGTGGCCAGTTATAGGTAACTGTTTTCCACAATCGGTGGAATCTCAGTCTCTCTGAGTATTCTGCCTGTCTTTGCTTTTGAACCCCACTGATCTCCAGAGCACCATGTAATGTGGGTGGTTTCTGCTCCTGGAGCAGATCTCCAGGGCTGGGTATTCAGCAGTCTTAGGCTTCTACCCACCCCCCTCCAGCCCTGTTTCTCTTCCTGCCAGTGGGCTGGGATAGGGGGAAGGGCTTGGGTATCGCTGGATTGTGGCTTTGCTACTTTATCCTTTTCAGTGAGGTCTCTCTTTTCTCCAGATATAGGAAGTCTGTCTCAAGTCTTTTTTCCAGTTGCTCTTTCAGGATTAGTTGTTTTTGCTGTATTACTGTATTATATGTGGTTTTGGGACAAGGTTTCTGTCTCACTTCGCATGCCGCCATCTTTAAGCCCTTCTGATCTATGACTTTTAAGAAGAGACAGTGTTTAAAAATGTTGAAATCTCATTTGCATTGAGTAACATATACAGAGAAACTAGAAAGCGGGTTAGCAGAATTATCAGATGATGAGAATGTTCTTTTTTTTAATATTATGATTGACTATTTGGGCATGTAGAAAGAGCTTTTCCATGTTATGTCTTACACTGTCATGATGAATTTTGTCTATTCCACCCTTTTCCAGGGAGCAGTCTTACATGGAAAGTGTTGTGACTTTTCTACAGGATGTTGTGCCCCAGGTAAGTGTCTGTGTGTTTTCAGAAATTGTAGGTTTTACCATTGGCCAGGAAAGCTCTGAAATGTTCTGTTTCTTAAACTTGAAATTAGTGTCATCAGCTTCAGAAAGACATGGTGTTTTAACATCCTAAGCACTGTTATTATTATTAGGTATGTATTAATTTTGCGCTGACAGTGGCAGAATTATTATCCCTCAGGACTTGCTCTCCTAGTAGGAATCAAGGTGAGTTGTTAGTTGAGATAGGACTTGGGATTCTGTAGTTGGGTTCTACTTCCAAACTCTTTCTTGTGTCATAAATATTGCTCGTCTGAAGTGAGAAAAGCAATATATACTTTGCATTTCATTAATTTGATATCATATTAACTAAATAGTATACTGAGCACAAATCTGTATCACCGTCGTATTGAGTAGCATTTTTATGACAGGTAGAGTATGCCTTGTTACTCTGAATTACAAGAGAGTAAGCCTCTTACTGGTCCCTCTATGTAAATGTGAGGATAAAGACTGAGAGCAGTCCTCCTGGGATCATCTCTAGTGCACTGTTGCCCAGATGTAATGTAAGTATCACTTGGCACACTTGTTAAAAATAAAAATTTCCAGGCCCCTCTCCCAGAGAGTTTGATTCAGGGGAATCCAGGTGGCATCCGGCAGCTTGTGTCCATAGTAAGAATGTCAGGTGATTCTTGTGAAACAGTAGCTATGGAAAGTGCTGTTTAGTGCAACTCCTGGAGGGAAAAGTTTCTCTTTTCTCCTGTGGTGATGTCAGTGTTCCCTTACAAGTGTCAGACTTCCAAGGTATCTGTAATGGCACTAAAAGGACATCATAGATCCAGTGTTCCAGCTTCTTAAGCATCCTAGTGAAGTCTAAAAATCCAGGTTTCAGTGTGTTAAACAAATTGTATTAATGAAATAAGGGAAGGTACCCATGAATGTTGGTATTCCTTTATTATGTTCAATCAACTTTAATGCAAATAAAGGAAGAATAAATGCTTTCTTTTCTTAAGGAACTTGGTTAATAAGGGAAGTCAAAATGCTTGAAACACAAGCCGTAATAGTAACCTGTCAGTAAGTGTTAAATGTGATAGTACAGACTGAATATTTAACTGCTAAGGGAAAGCATAACCAAGAGACAGTGAAAGAGTCAAGTTCCAAAAGCACATTGGAAGTAGCATTAGTTGAAATGAACAGGAAGGTTGGGTAGTTGAAGTTGAAAGAAACTGGCTAGCTGAATACAATAGGCAACCAAAGCTATAGAGCATCCTGTATGCCACACAAAATGCCAGGCTTAGAGAGAAATATGGGGCAGAAATCCAACTTGGTCTTCTGCAAACTGCTCTCTTTTCTTAAACCCTGAGCCCTGGCTTGAGGCTAATTCCAAGGAAGGGGCATTTAAAATTTTTGGTAATTGCCTGCCCTGGAGTGCCTCTTTATCGAATTTTTACGAAGGCATATTTTGTGTTATTGGAACCCCTGTGTAGTGATCTGTTTTTGTTGGCTGAAGGAGAGAAGCTGTGATCAGAGACTTTGAGGGAATAGTTGGAGAGTTTGCTAGAGAAACAGAAATACTCGATTGAGTAATAGATTGAAAATAGAGGACTGCTAAAACTGTTAAGGTAAAAATGTTTGAAGGCAGAAGGTAATTTAGATTTTTATAATCATTATACATTAAATATTACATCAGGGATAAGCTGTGCATTTGTAAAAGTTTGGACCAGAGTAGTAACTATGGAAGTAGAGTTATAACCATGGCTCTAAGAATTAGAATCTTCATTCATGAAATTTATGTTGTCCAAGTTATTGTTCTAGTTACTGTGGAAAGAAAGCAGAAATTCAGGCAGGCAGATACTTTACTTGAGCATCCACTATGGGGCAGGCACTGTGTTAAGTCGATACCCTAAAGCTTCATGGTGTAGTGCAGCATTTGGCAAACTTCCTGTAATGGACTAGATAAACTTTGCAGTTTGTACTATCCCTGTCACAACTACACAGCACTGCTTTTCACGTAAAGGAAAGGGTGTGGCTGTGCTAAAATAAAACTTTATGAACATAGGTGGTGGGGCAGATTTGGTGACTCAAGGTCCCTTTTTTCCTACATTTAATCCAGAATTCCCCATTGGTATTTTACAGTCAGCCATTTGGAAAATGATATTTTTTGCTGATGTTATGTTCCAATTGGTGCTCTATTCTGGGAATCATCAAGTTCATGGAGCCCAGAAATTACTCTTTGGGTCTCCAAATACCCCCCAATAGGGAGAAAATCTGTTATTAGACTGATATCAGTTTCTTCAGTTATCACAAATAGAGTGAATCACAATAGGTGTCATTGATGGCTGGTAAAAGCCCTTAGCTGTGTCCTTTGATCTAATACTTATGAAAATTTATTTTAAATAATTCAACAAAGAATAAGTTGAAGCTCAGAACTTCCCATTTCAGTTTGTGTGAAATTTTCACATTTTCAATGTAAAAAATTAGAGGCAGCCCAAATGTCAGCAGCAGTCAAGCAAATTATGATAAATGGTCCCTATAGAATAATTTGCTAAAATTAAAAATTATACTTTTAACAATAGCACATAATAGAAGTTATTTTCTCTATAGTGAAAAAGTAAAACAATGTATCTACTGTGATTGTGGCTGTATCTTTTAAAATTCAGCAGTAACTTTGCACTTATGAATGTGTGTATCTGTTAGAAACCAGATAAAGAATAAAAACAAATAAATCCTGTCAGTAGTAGGGTGAGAGTTTTGACTCTAAAGAAGACATTGAGAGCAGTTGGATCTTGCTTGAAGCAGGAGGGCTAATAACCAGTGCTGGGAGGACAAAACTTTAGTGTAGCAGTGCATTGATCTCCATTTTAAGGTAGCAAGTGTAGGCTGGTTGGGTGCTGGATGAGTCAGTGCCTCACTGAGAATAAAATATCAAAACATGGGCAGAGTATATCATACACTGTAGGCCAAATGACATGATGTCACATGTCTTCTTTGTGCAAACCGGCAGGAAGCCACACAAGAAGCCCCTCTCAGATGCTTCAGTCAACTTCACAGAATTGTCTCAAAAATGCTTAGTAAAAGGGAACCATGTCTGCTAAGGAGAGAGGAAAATTTGGCATAGCAAAGGTATATGAGACTTGTTACGGTCTTATTTTGCCCTGAGGGGGAAAGAAGGGAAGTTCGAGAATCCCAGTGCACTTAGGGCCTCTTTCAGCCTTGCCTTGTTCTACCTGTTGCCCAGGAATCAAAGGAGAGCATCTTGCAAATGTTGCAAAGGAATTGGGAGAATGCTGAATAATGCTGTGGGTGATAAGAAGCAGCCTTATTATAAATCTGCTAAACCAAAGAAAATTGTGAAAAAAATGTCACTGCTTTACTGTGATATAGGTAAAAAGAAGTGCTCCGAAACGCACTGTGGTATCTTGGATTGGATCTTGGAGTAGAGAAAGGATGTTAGTGGAAAACCTGATGAAATCTAAATAAAGTCTGGGGCTTAATAGTAATGCATCAATATTACTTTCATTGTTTTGACAGATATACTATGGTAGGTAGGATTTGGTTAGATTGTTAACAGGAGAAATTGGCTGAGGGGTGTATGAGAGCTCTATGTACTGTATTTAATAATCTGAAGTTCCTACAAAATAAAGTTTTCAAGGAGGAAAAGAGCAAGGTCAATTAAGAAGAGGAAGAAGATGAGAGGGGGGCTGAAGATAAAGTTGATGAATTAGTTGGTGCTAATGCAGGTTTTCTTCTTCTCTAAAGGAATTAACTGTCCCATACATATCTCACTTGTTCTTTTAAAAGAAGACAATTGAGATTATAAGGATGTGTAAGATAATTTGTGTGTGTAGTAAACCTACTATTAAAGTAACCCTATTTTAGTAGTAACCTTGTATGGTATAGTTTGGAGGCTGTATATTGGCATGGAACTTTAAAGCAGGTCATTACATTTAAATGCACATTAAATGCATTTAAAGCACAAATTATATATGGGATGGTAGTTTTTGTATGCTTTTCTTATAGATTATATTAAATAATTGTTCTGTGAACTGTATCACTTTATAATTGAAAATGTTTTAGCTCTTTTGTTGACATTCTAAGTACTTGTAAGTATATATAATCTTTAAGCATTTTTAAATAAAAACATTTGCCTTATGGAGAGGTGACTCCCTCTGAATACTGATGGGTACTGTTGACACTTTTCCTATGACTTGATGGCAGTTTGTGCTTATTTTTGTGACCCTTGCAGGCTTGCAGGAACCAGCTGATAGGTTGGATCTAGAAAGCTAGATAAAATAATTAAAAAGTAATACTTTTTTTTTAAACCCCCAACCCTGGCCCATGCCCTTCACCTAGAATTGGAGATGAGCAGAAAGTAATACTATTGAAAATTCTAAGTAGAGTGTAATTGCCTGATCATAAACATATGGGGACTAAAAAAGATATGTATAGTAATTTTATTTCTTAAGCCTTCTTATCTTTGACCGATATAGGGGGTGATTTAGTTTTTTGAGCACCTTTGAATGATAGTGATGCTTCCTAACAGACTATGATCATTGTATTTTAGGTTTCTGCAATTCTTTAATAGCTTAAATATCATTTTATGACCAAGATGATCAGATTACTGGATAACTTTCTTTGGGAGTGAAAATATTACAAAATATGCTAGTTCCCAAGGTATAGGATTGGTGAAGTTGAAGAGGGATAGGGTTGGCTTTATTTACATTGCTTTTTGTTTTGAACATCAGTAATATTAGAACTATAAAACATTTTTATTCAAACATTTGTTTATTATGCAGGCTTACAGTGGAACACCTCTAACAGAAGAAAAGGAGAAAATAGTGTGGGTCAGATTTGAAAATGCAGATTTAAATGGTATGCTTTTAACTTTTTCTGGACATGTGAATTAAATGTTTGTTTGAGGTTGACCTCATTAGAAAAAGATTGCTTTTTCTTATATAGTAGTTTTCAAATGAATTCATTTTTAATTGAAAAAGTAACATAACCATGATACAGAAACTTCATTAGAATGAATACTGTATTGTACAATTCTTTAATTGTAACATGCAGTGCTTAGCCTTAAACTTTAAGTCCAAGTGAGATAAAAATTTCTTAGGAAAGAAGTTAATCAAGTGTCATAAGTTGAATATAATTGCAAAGTAATCATTAGTGTTGAGCTTTTTAGACTTCAAAATTATTTTTTTTGAACAGAATTTATGCCAGTCCAAGGCCTGTTTGTTTGCAGATACATGCCATTTCACTGCTCCTTCCTGTTACCTCTTGCAAGAGGGCTGCCTCTTGTCTGTTTCCCAGGCTACCATGTCTGTTGTCTTGTGAATGAGTTTGGGAGTCGTGCTGAGAAACTGATGGGGAGGATGGAGAAGGGGAAAAGAGTATTACTCTCTCCCCATCGGTGGCTGTGTTTTCTACGAGGTTCTAGCTTCTCCTCCACTGCTTTCCAGTTTTTGCTGGGTTACCCCAGCACCCTACACTCCTTTCTGTGTCCCTAGCCTAGGGGTGGTAATACGCTTCCTGTTGTGGCTAATCCAGTAGGTCTCCTCACAGTTCCTTTTTTCGGCTTCTCAGCTATTCTGTCACTTGTGTAACCAGTTGTCTGCATTCAATTCCCAATTACAAACACACTGGGTTGTTTTCATTTCCTAGTTGGACGTTGATTGATAAACTCTTCAGTCTTTGTCTCCTCTAAGATTTTTAAAACATGATGCTGCATTTTCTTTTAAAGGCTACTGTCTAGGATGAGCAAGGCTAAGTATTTCTTCTGCAAACTGGTTGCTTTTGAATTTTGTATTCTCTATTAGTTCTTTCTTCCAAATAATGACAACTTGTTGGACCCTCTATGGAGAAAAAAATCAGTCATTTGTATGGGCGATTATTTGTGATATATACACTTGTCCTATTTTGCTTTGCTTTGAAAGCTTATTTAAAAATTTTGTTTATTTTTATGACTGTCAAATTTTCCTTGTTTACTAGTATATTCTTCCTCCTTTTCTCTTTCTCCTTTATTAATAACTATTTAACTGTGATCTTTTGTTTTCTGTCATCTTTTCCTCTTGAATTCGGCTCTTCTTGCCTTTCTGGAAGTATATTTTTGCTTTTTGGGTGTCAGATGTATTGGGGGACTTTCTTTATTTAATAACAAAAAAAATGTGGTGTGGTCTTGAAAATGTTAGTGCCAGATAGTAGCAAAAGTTTGTTGTACAACATAGGCAAAATGTTCAAAAATAATTAATTTTTAAAAGCAGAGCTTCATATCAGTAGTAAAAAAGAAATGATTTTAAAATCACAAAATTAACATTTAAAAATGTCATCAAAATAATCTTTGACTAGACATGTTTCTTTTTTTTTTAACAAGAATTGTTTAAGTAATATTCTATAAAGCCTTTGCTTTATTGAAGTAAAATGCATCTGGAAATTTAGATGGATCCTGCTTGAAAATTATTTTAATATTATGTGTCCTGTTGAACTTACAATGGTTGTCTTTAACTTAGTATCCCATATCTCAGTTGATTTATTAAGCTTTAAATTTATACATCTTCCTCTTAAATACTTTAGTGGACTCACACATCCTTTGGTCTATGTCATATCTGTATCATATTGATATTGTGTGAAGTTTTGGTCTGGGTGTTTAGAGATATACTTTTTGTTATCTTGGCTCTAAGGGTGTATGTGTGTGTATACTTGGTGTGTGTTTTAAGGTGATAGTAAATATTAGCAGGATTTTGATCCCTCTTACTTCCGTGGTCTCTTACAGCATTTCTTGAATTTGTCTCTTCTTTGTGTTTTTTCTTCAAGAATTTTTTTGTTTAGGTCTTTGTGTGACAAACCTGAGATATTTATAATTGAAAGAAAATTTGGCCAAGGGAAAGAAAAAGTAGGTTTGATGGCTGCAAGTGCATCATTTTGAAGAAGGCTAACAAGAACTAACTTTTCCACTGCACTGGAGTTTCTTGATCAGTCAGTTTGCAATCAGCCAGTTTGCCTTCACCTGGTGCCTGCTGCAGCCAGGATGCAATTCCTCAGTCACCGCCTTCTGTGACACCCTGAGGCAGGTGGTGGAGGGGATTCTTCTGAATGCAGCTACACTAGCTTAGCAACCTGCCTCTTGGTAGGTTAGGACAAACCTGGAGATTGTATTAGGTATTCAGGCAAAACAATTTAGAAGTCTGTTGGTTGTCTATAGATTTAAGTTATTTTAGATTATCAATGAAACTCTGTTAGCTGTTAATCAATTTAAAAGTTACAGTGTTTGAATTAAACTCTGCTTTGGTGATTGTTTTCTGTTTTTTGTTTTTTTTTTTTCAACAGCCTGGGAGGTCTGCTTTTGTGCGAGGAATTATATTAAGTGGTGCCAGTTGGTCCCTTTTCTGTAGGCTGCACCCAGTTAAATTATGGCTTATTATAGAGTTGGGGGTGGAGCAGATAATAACTAACAGGAGATCCGATTAAGACCTTAGATCCTAAGGGACCTAGGTTGTTGGGATTCTCCAGTCCTGGATCCTCCTAGATATATCTCCATTCCCAATCAATGTGCTAACTTTGACTTGGTGTTAGGTAGAGACTACTCCTTTTGGAGTTGATCCGAGAGCAGGATTAGGACTCTTTGTATCATGGTCACTGTTCTGTTTCTGCTTTGAGGCAGTCTGATTTATACCTAAGCTTGTTTCTCTTGAGGCACCATACTGAAAGAAGTATAAGACGTAGCCACAGCAGTTTAATATCCTGGTATTTCCATCAGATTCCCTAAAGGTGAGCATATAGTTGGAGTCCCAAAAATATCAGGTTAACCAGCTGCTTTGCTACAATATAGCAAGAACTCCCAACTTTCTGGCCTATTTGGGAATTCTTACCACCCTCTACCAACCTAGCCCATCTGGACTTTGTCAATTCTAATATCAAGTCTAGTACTATTTGTAGGCATCAGTTTTTATATTCAACAGGCTTTATTATTATTATTTTCAGTTGCAAGGGTTTGTGTTAAGGGAATCCAAAAAAATTTTAAATTGTGGTATCCTAATTTATAGTGCATAGCTTAGTAGTGTGAAGTACATTGGCATTTTTATGTCTCTCTAGAACTCTTTTCATATTGTAAAACTGAAACTCTATATGCATTAAATAACAACTCCACATTCTCTCCTTCCCACTAGCCCTTGGTTTCTATTTCTATTTCTATTAATTTGACTACTCAAGGTACCTCAGAGGTGGTATCATAGTATTTGTCTTCATGTGACCTGCTTATTTCATTTAGCATATAATATCCTCAGGCTTCACCCTCAAGGTTGTAGAATATGTTGGAAATCCTTTCTTTTTAAGGCTGTTTGAAATAAGATGAGATAAAAAAAATACCAGTGAAGGAAAAAAAGAGCTGCTATGGATACAATGGTATGATGTTATGATAGAGGATTGATGGTATGATAGAGGATATAAAAAGAAACAAGAGTCAAAGAATAAGGATTACTTAAAGCTATAACATTTCTGAAGAATAGCATACAATTTTTACAGAATTAAGAGTTTCATTCAAGAGTAATAAAGTCTGCTGTTCCACCATCTAGAAAAAGAAAAATAGCACAACAAATGACTGAACAGATTTTAAAATAAGAGAAAGGATATTTTGTTCCTATAGTGACCTCAGGGCTTTACATGTGGCATTTGAATCCTTCTAAAAGTAGCGACCTGGGATCAAGGTGGTAGCTGTAATAGAAAGAAGGCTGGATTGAGTATTAAGAATCCTGAGATTGCTCTTCAGCTTTGTGTAAATTATACCTAGCTTGTTCTTGTCAATGATAAAATGAAATAGGCCCCTGCTCTCATATTAAACAGGATTGTTGTGTGTCAGACTAGATGATGTATATACTGAAGCATACTAAGAATTATAAAGACCACTTAAATGTTAGCTATGAAGAGAATTAATTGTGCCCTAGAAAAATAAGTATAATTCTGAATTTTACTAGACATAGAATCAAGTGATATTAACTTTATGCCATTAAGTGCCTGTCAAAAGAAAATCAGCAGGAAAAAATTACTGATTATAAGCTGTGTTAAAGATACAATCTTTTTATTTGAGTAACAGGATGTCAGTAATGTAGAGGATGGAGGTGAGGAGGTGTGTCATTATTTGTGTTTTGAAAAGAGCAGTCTGACTTTAGTGTGGAGTTCAGTGGGCAGTGGTAGATTTATGCTTTTGTAGTGGATGTTGTAGTAGGCAGTGGCGGTGGTCGGGGTAAGAAGAGAGCTATTTAGGATGACACAGAGATTGGTGATAGATTTATTGCTAGTAGGAAGAAGGAAGGAGGAAGGCAGTTTGTGACTTTGCTAATTGGATAGAAAACCATGTTGGTCACCAAAAAAGGGAACCCTGGAAGATCAGATTTGAGGAGGAAATCATTATTTTTGAGTGGAATTTGATTTTCTTTTGAGGCATCTGAAAACCTGTGTTGAAGAAGTAAGTCACTATCAGATACTAGCCCAAGCAGTGGATAGAATGGGATCACTTGGGGAGGGTATACTCTGAGAAGAAAAGGGGACTTTAGGAATTAGCTTTGAGTGACTACAGTATTTGAAGGGTAGTAGGAAAGGATGAGTCAACAGAGCAAATGGTGGAAGAGTGACTAAGAAATAGGAGGCAAACTGGGAGGTCATGCCTGGAAAACCAAGGGAAAAAGGAGAAAATGGTGAGCATTGGTTATAGCTGCTGAATAGACTAATAAGATGTGCTTGAAAAACATATATTGGATTCAGTAACTTGGAGAATTTTTTGTGGCTATAGCAAAAGTCACTTGGGAGGATTTGTAAGGGACAGAAGCCATTCTGAAATGGACTTGAGGTGAATGAGACATGAAGAATAGATGACACTTATAAACACCTCACTAAAGGAATTTAGCTTCTAGGAGAGGGGAGTGATGTAGTCAAAGGGAGAGGGATTTATGATTTTTTAAAACCTTATTATGCAAATATATTATAGTAAATAAGACAAAGGTATGGATCAGTGAATGAATTTTTATACCTGTGTAACCATCACTTAGCTTAAGAAATAGAATATTACCACTCAATAGTGATTTTGAATGTTATATAAATAGTATTCAGTATATAGGCTTTTGTGTCTGGCTTCTTTTGCTCATTTTGTCTGTAAGGTTCATTCATGTTATATGTATGGTAGTAGTTCATTTTTCCTCTGTGCTGAATAGTATTCTATCATATCAATCTGCTACTGTGCTTGTACTTTCTTCTGTTGATGGACATTTGAATTGATAATAGCTTTTGACTCTTTATAAATACTGCTTTGAATATTCTTGTTAGTGTCTTCTTGGTATATATGTGCTTATGCTTCTAATGAGTATATACCTAGAGTGGAACTACTTGGTCAAAGGGCATGGTATCCTCAACTTGAGTATATATTGCCAAACTGTTTTCCAAAGTGGTTGTACTGATTTACATACACTAGTAATAACTAAGCAAGCCCTTTCCTCCATATCTTGCCAATACTTGGTTTTGTCATTGTGATTTTAATTAGTACTTTTTTGAGTACAAATGAGGTTGAGCCACTTTTAATGTTCATTGATTATTGTTTTATTTGAATATCCTCTTTTTGAAATGTTTTTTCATATCTTTTGTCTATTTTCCTAATGACATCTTTTTCATATTGGTTTTTAATTGTTATGTGTACTAGAGGAATCCTTGTGGGGTTTTAGTTGCCTCAAGTCTCTTCTCCCATGTTGCGGCTTACCTTTTTACTCTTCTGGTAAGGGTGGCTTTTCATTAACAGAAATTCTTCATTTTAATATAGTAGAATTCTTCCATGTTTTATGGTAAGAGTTTCTTGTGTCCTTTTAAGAAGTCTTTCCCTATACCATGATCATGAAAATAAGTTTCTGCATTATCCTCTAGTGTTTCATTAATTTTACCTTTGTCTATTATATCTAAAATTCCATGGTACTGATTTATTAAAAAAAATTTGAAGGATAGGAGACACTTTAGTATGTTTAAATACCCATTGAAAATATTCAGTAGCATGGAAGAAGTTGAAGACAGAGGAAAGGAATGATTGGAAGAAGGTTCCTGAGAAGGTGGGGGAGGGTGGGATACAAAGCACAGATGGAGGGATTTACTTTACATGGAAGGAGAGACAACAGGTAGTAATAGAATGGAATGCAAAGAGGGTGGTACAGATGCTTGTAGGTCTTTGGGAACAGGAAGTGTCTAACATTTCCCTGTGTAGTATGATACACATTATCTGCTGAGTAAGGAGAGATTGGGTGGGTTCAGGGTTTGGAGAAGGTTTAAGAAAACTATTAAAGAATTTGTAGAAGTTCCAGAGAATAGTGTAAGCTTGTATATTTTTGAGGGTCCAGTTGAGGTTTATGGAGACAAATTAACTTACAGTGGTACCAATTCTTTTTCATTGTGTGACTTTTTTCTCTTGGTTGCTATAGAACAAACATAGGGGGTAGTTGGGTCCATCTGGGATTGAGGTTTTACTAGTTTTGAGTGCCATGCAAAGATCCCACAAAAAGGGATAACAGAATGTAGCTTATTAACAGATGTTACTGATATGATTGATCAAAGACTGTAAGATGAGAAGAGAGTGTCTATAAGATGGGCCTGAAGAATAGAGAGAAGGCAGGGGCGTCAGTGGACTGGAGGTCCTAAAGAAGTCAAAGAACAAATCTTAATGGAAGTTGAGCAAACTTGCTGGAAGATATGTGATCTGAGAAAATAATGCTTGAATTAGTGATATTTAAAGTACAATAGTTTTTTTCAATAAGGCTATCTTTTATAATACTGATACATAACAGACAGTTCATACTCCCTGATGTGAATCAGTAAGGTTTATGAGACAAGAACGTACATTTCTTTTGTAGAGGACTGTATACCCAGTATATCAGGATTCAATTCCCATGTATAAATGAACATAATTTTCTTTCATTGCTAAATTTGCAAATGCTAGGAATTCCAGATGATTGTACTTACTTTTTATATTTAATCAATTTTATAAAAGTAGTTCATGTTCATTTATAGATTACAAATGGTTTTGCTGCTGAGTACTGATATTCCCTGGTTCTCTAGAAGAATCTGCTTTTTAAAATTTACCTGTGCTTATGATTGTTTTTTAAAAAACACTACACTAGTTTAATAATTTCAGCTTCTTATTCCAATCTTATGAATGTTCATATGACAATTTCACATGAGCATTGTGGTTTCAACCTTCACTCATATAATCAAGTCCTCACCCCCCATTTCAGTCACTATCAGTGTAGTAAGATGCTATAGAGTCACTGCTTGTCTTCACCGTGCTGCACTGCCTTTCCCATGACCCCCCTACATTATGTGTGTTAATTATAATGCTCCTTAATCCCCTTCTCACTCCCTCCCCATGCACCCTTCCCAACACCTTTCCTTTGGTAACCACTAGTCCCTGATTGGAGTCTGTGAGTCTGCTGCTGTTTTGTTCCTTCAGGTTTGCTTTGTTGTTATACTCCACATATGAGTGAAATCATTTGGTACTTGTCTTTCTCCACCTGGCTTATTTCATTGAGCATAATACCCTCTATCTCCATCCATGTTGTTGCAAATGGCAGGATTTCTTTTCTTTTTATGGCTGAATAGTATTCCATTGTATGTATGTCCCACATCTTCTTTATCCATTCATCTACTGATGGGTACTTAGGTTGCTTCCATATCTTGACTATTGTAAATAGTGCTGCAATAAACATAGAGATATGTATGTCTTTTGGAACCAGGGATCTCATTTTCTTTGAGTGAATTCCTAGGAGTGGAATTCCTGGGTCAAATGGTATTTCTATTTTTAGTTTTTTGAGGAACCACATTGTGGAAAGTATTGTTTTCCACAATGGTTGAACCTCTTCTGCACTTTTTACTGAAAAGCAATTTAAAAGAGTTGTTACACTGATAACATTTAAGAAGTGTGGTTGTTTTCTTGATAAACATTATGTCTTCTTAATATGCTTTTTGTTACTTAATTCTGATGCAGATACATCAAGAAATCTGGAATTTCATGAAATACATAGTACTGGGAATGAGCCCCCTTTGCTGATTATGATTGGTTACAGTGACGGAATGCAGGTCTGGAGTATCCCTGTAAGTATGAGAATGGTTGGCTCTTTAAAATTTAGTGCTTTTCCAGAATGCTAGCTAATGCGAAGTCTGGTGATACTTTCTGTAAGCTCTCATCCATTTGTTTCCAAGCAGTTGCTACAAGACTGCTATGTGGGCAGCACCATACAAGGCACAAGGAATAAGGGGCCGGTGAGAAATCAGAGATCATGTAACTGGTTTGTAAAGTGGGACAGGGATTGTGGGAATCACTTTACATCTGAGATCTAGTTTTTCATCATAATAACTGCACTAAGTAGGTATTTTTATTTCCTCCCATTTTGCAGAAGAGTAAAGAGGCTTATAAGAGGCATAAAAAAAATCAGCAGTCATAAAAGAAAGTCAATGTTTTGAATCAGTTTCATCACTCACATGATAAAAATTCAGGAGGTATGAAAGGGTAAAAAAACTCCCCTTCTTGTCTCTCATTTCCCCTACCTTGAGGAAATCAGAATTTCTAGTTTCTTATGTATCCTTCCGGCTATGTTTTGTGCAAATAAGAACGTATATAAATATATTTCTTCCACCCTGCCCTTCCCTAACAGATGGAAGTATATTATACAGTATTACATTGCTGAGTCTGTACCTTGCTGTTTTTACTCATGATGTCAGTATTCAAGTATTCAGAGATCTGCTTCTTTGAATTTTACAGCTGCATGTAATTCCATTATTTGGATTTTTTAAATTTATGTAACCTGTTCCCTATATTGAAAAAAAACCTGAATGTCCCCTCCCCCTCCACCCATGCCCCAGTTTGGTATTAGAAACGATGTGATACATGAACTTGAACAAAGGTTCATGTGTGTGTGTGTGTGTTGGAATATTTTCTCTCCCATTTTTGTTTCTTTTGGGTAATATGGTTACTTCTTAAAAGAGTTATAAGCAAGCAATTTTACAGGTTTAATGGAATTCAGGATGTTCCTGAGTACAGAATTTGACTTCAGTGGCATAGCATTATTAAGTATGTCTGTATGTCTGTATAGGATAAATCCCAGTTTTGATAGATGTTATAAATTGCCCAATATTGGTCCCACTTTGCCTCTTAAATCCTACATGTTCCTCTTTGGGATGACCAAAAAGAAAATGTCCTAAAAGAGGAAGAGGCTTGGTAGGATCACAGTTCAGTAGGGAATGTGATGTGTATTTTGGAATGCATACTTAGGCTTGTAGTTACTTACATGGGGGTGTTGTCATGACCTGTGTATCATCTCTTACCAGTAAATGGGAGGGTTGGGGGTAAAAGGGAAGATGGACTTCTATTGTGTGATGCTTTTGCAATTGGAGGCTCCAGGCCAATAGAATTTTAATTTATACTTTTAATAAATACATTCACCAAGTTGTTTGAAGCCATGTGTGTGTGTGTGTGTGTGTGTGTGTTGGAATATTTTCTCCCCCATTTTTGGTTCTTTGGGGTAATATGGTTACTTTTTAAAAGAGTTATAAGCAAGCAATTTTACCTCAGATTTAATGGAATTCAGGATGTTCCTGAGTACAGAATTTTACTTCAGTGGCATACATTATTAAGTATGAGCACATTTGACATCATAATTCTTTAACATTTTAAGTAAAAAAAGTTATTTTATTCTTTGATAAATTACTTATGATGAACTTTGGTCTTTCATCTAATCATAATATTATGTATCACATTATTAGGTATTTAGTATTTAGGGTGTTTTTTTTAAAGATTGGCTTTATTTTCTAGAGGTAGAAGAATCCTACTTGTTTAGCCATGAAATGAGTATCTTCTTTCTTTGACCTCTTTGGATGTGCAGTTGACATTTTTCAAGGCCCTGCAGTGTTGTTTGTAATTAAAGTGTTGTGCTAAAGAAATTAACAAAAGACTTAAAATGTGGCAGTGTTTTTTTTTTCCTGGGAAGAAAAATATTTCTAGGTTGTGATCAGAGCCAAGGATTTTGTAAATGTAACTTTGTGTTATTCATAGAGACTACATTTTGATCCATTACACTCTTTGTTGACAGACTTGAAGACAGAGAGGAAGCTAGAGCTTTAACAAGAAGGTTGAGCCCTGTATGATTAGGGGTGTTGACTGGATAGAGCATATTCCTTTGGTGGTACTCAGGCTCCCACTTTATAATTAGAAGAATCACTTTTAATAGTTTTAAAGCTAAATTTTGTTTAGTCCTGAGTAACTTAAACATCTTCTGAGTAATTTAAGTTACTTCTTTAAAGTAATTCTTATGCCCAGATTGTAATTTGAAAGATTTGAATAATCTTTTCTTCATGGAATTTTCATTGACTAGTTGCTTACTATTGTAGTGTAGTCCTGTGAGGGCTGGTTCAAGAATTAAGAGAGTTTGGGAAAATGAGCTCCCTCTGTTGTATTACTTGGGCTCTTACTATGTTCAAAGAGCTTTATATACATATTATTTTATCTATTGTGTACTGCAAGGTACAAGTTACCCTATTTGATAGGTAATGAGGTCACACACTTATAAGAGGTGGAACTGGAATTCAAACTCAATTCTGACTTTAAATTTAAAGCCCATCGTCTAAGAGCTATACTTTATTAAATTCCCAAATGTGATAGCTGAAGATATGCCATACAAGAAGTTTGGCAATTTAGTTTTAGTTTTAATTGTAAAGGTTGTGATGTATCTTCAAATATTCATCTTTTATAGACTACTGTGACTGTTACCTGTTATTTTAACTAAACCTTTCTGAAGCTTGTTTATCACTATTCAGTCATTCAATAATTATTTAGGTGTCAGCATGTGCTAGACAGTGGGGAGCTTATGTTGGTCAACCTAGAAATAATGCTGGCTCTTAGGGACCTATGGAGACCATAAATTATATTTGCTTTGAGTAAGTGTCTATGGGCAGAGAGTTAATCTCTGTCCAAACCATAGCTCAGTTTTGCTTCATGTTTGTGCACAGAGTTCCCTTATATTGATTTTATATAAAACTGTCCCACCCATGTGGGATTCACATATAAATCAAGTATAAAAATCAAATGGATAATCATATCTGACTTGATTGTTTATAGTTCATGATGCGTGATCAAAACTGAAAGTTTCTGTGATATGACTGCCCTTGCACTGTTCACCATGTAAGAACTTGTTCACCATGTAAGAACTCGTTCGTTATGCTTCAGAAGATTGGAGACTGTTGAGAATTAGGCTTGGGGTTGATTAATGATTGTGTATTGAGTCCCCTATACAGAATTTTATTGTTGTTAACAACCATTTGATCAATAAATATGAGAGATGCCCTCTCAAAAAAAAAAAAACAAAAAAACTGTCCCACCCGTAAGTCTCAGATTAAGAAAATAAACATATTCTGGTTGGACATTTAAAAAAACTATTTGTGAAGTACACAAATACGAACAAGGATTAGATGATATCTAGGACTACAGTTGACCTTTGAATAAGATAGGTTTGAATTGGCTTGGTCCATTTACACAGAATCTTTTTCAATAAATATATTGGATAATTTTTCTGAGATTTTCAACAATTTGAAGAAATACGTCTCCAGCTTACTTTATTGTAAGAATACAGTATATAATACACAGAACATACAAAATATGTGTAACTCCTTATGTAATCAGTAAGCCTCAGGTTACCAGTAGGCTCTTAGTTATGTTTTGGAGGAATCAAAAGTTATACATGGATTTTTGACTCTGCAGGGGTTGTACTGCCAACCCCTGTGTTGTTCAAGGTTCAACTGTATAGCTTAGTAGAGTTACCTCAGAAGCAGAACTGTGCGAATTGGTCTTCTTACCGCCCACTTCCTACCACTTTGTATGAGATGGCTGCAGGAAAACACCAGCTTTCCTAGTTTTCCCAAGCTGTCCTGCCCCGTCTTTCAACACATCTGATGTAACATAAGAAAGAATGATTATTTGTTATGTCGATGTTCTGGGTAAACAGTCCTTTTTCCCACTCATGCTTAATAATGTCATTGCCTCTTTTTGGTAATGTAAATATAGGCTCTCTTGTTTAAAATGCTAATTAAAAAAAATATACGTGTTTGTGGACTAAAACCCAAATAGTTTTATTGGGTTTGAATTCCACTTCCAACTCTTATAAGTGGTGTGAGCTCACTACCTATAAAATAGGGTAACTTCCACCTTGCAGTGCACAATAGATAAGGTAATATGAAAACTGAAAAAACCCCAACAAACCAGCAGCTCTGTATCCTTCCTTTCTTAATTCCTTCAATTCTATCAGCTGTTGTTATCTTAGTATTTATTTCAGTTATTTTAAAATAAACTTATATTCTTGATTTTTTTTTTCTCCCAGTCTTCCCTTATGTTGATTTGGTGCCATGAACTATGAGGACTTAAAAGGTGATCATTTATTCAGCATAGATCTGGGATAAAATAAGTATTGTGAATAAAATAGACATGGTCTTTGCTCTGATGGAGCTAGAAGGAGAGATGGATTTAAATGAAAGTAAATTTATATTCAACTTAGATTGTAATATGAAGAAAAGAATAAGAGATTAGAATAAGGAAGTGGCATAGAAGTTAATGAAGATTTAGCCAGGGTAAGGAGATTGGACTGGCAACCAGTGAAGTCAGAGGCTCTGTGGTGGCAGTGTTTTTTTCTTTATAGCTGGACAGTGATTTAGGTTTCTTAAGATTTTTTTCTTCTTAAAGAATATTGAAATGAATATCTTTATGATCATGTAATTTGCAGAGATCAAAAGAAGTAGATATTGTAAGGTTCTTGATAGATTTGCCAAACATTCTTGTAAGGCCATGCCATTTAAACTTATCCCGTTCATTTATTAATTCATTCACTCAGCAGATTTATTGATTGCCTTTTACATGCCAGACCCTGTTCAGGGTTCTGGGAAAACAACATTGCCCCCAAACAAAATCACTTTTCTTGTGGAATTTCTATTCTAGGTAGGTGCAGAAGATGATAATAAACATGTACCGTGCTAGATGGTGGTAGGTGTTATGGTGGGGTGGTTGATGTTGTGGGTTGCTGTAATATATGAAGTGGCCTGGGAAAGCCTCT